CCTTGAATAGCAAGACTGTGGTCTTCTCTTACAGTGTAGGTACTTTGCTTATAAATGACTTTGCATATAAATTTAAAAGAATGGTGTGTTCATTCATTAGAGGCTGTTGTAAATGCTCTGTTAGATCTTTTTAGTTAGGGTCCTTGAATGACATCAGATAATATAATTCTGAACAAACTATTGTCTTTAAAATATAAGATCCTTTAAGTCAAAATAATATATTTCCAAAAAAGACTTTAAGATAGGTGGAAGAAGAACTTCAAATTTGTCTGCATTCTAATCCCCAGATATATGGAACAGGAATGGAGAACTAAGGTAGCCAATGGAAAAAGGCTGTTAATCAACTGACCTTAAGATGAAAAGGCTGATCATTATTATGTAGTGGGACTAATGTAATCACTTTGGTCTTAGAATGTTCTACCTGTTTTTACCTGCTTGACTGGAGTGTAGGAGTAGCTCATTAGTTTTCTGGCTCTCTGACAGTTGGAGACAAGTTTCCAAAACATCTCTGAAGCCCATGTTGTGGACTCTTTTGCCTTATATGTATTTTTATGGCTTCTCACATCCAAGTCTTGAATTCATTTTGAGTTAATTTTTGTGTATGGTGTGAAGTAGTGGTCTAGTTCCATTTTTTTTTTCTGCATGGGGTTATCTAGTTTTCTGAACACTTTTTTTAATATTTTATTTTATATAATTATTACATCATTTTTAATTTTTACATGTGTATGCACTTTCATTTTGGTTATATTCTCATACAATTGCACCTCCCCCTTATTTTGACCCTAATCCTTTCTCTCCCCACCCCTCCACCAACCCCCAGTGTGTCTCTGGTCCAGAGATGCTTGTTGATTTTGATTTTTACTTTGTATTAATTAGTCTTTTTCCTAGTCCATTATTTAGGTTTTCTAAATTCCTGTTATGGGTGAGACCATCTGGTATTTTTCTTTTTCTTTCTGACTTATTTCACTGAGCATGAACCCTTCTAGTTCCATTCATGTTGCTGCACTCTCCAGCACTGCTGGTGGGAGTGAAAACTGGTCCAACCACTATGAAGTGCTGTGTGGAGATTGCTCAACCTACTAAAGATAGAGCTTCCATATGATCCAGCAATTCCACTCCTAGGTATTTACCCAAATGACACAGAAACATTAATTCCAAAGGGCACCTGCACCCCTATGTTTATAGCAGCACTATTTATAATAGTAAAGCTATGGAAACACCCCAAATACCCAAAAATAGATGACTGGATCTAGAAGATGTGGTACTGATACACAATGGAATATTACTCAGCAATCAAAAAAGATGAACACTATTTTTTGAAGAGACTTTCCTTTCTCCATTGTATATTCCTGGCTTCTTTGTCATAGATTAACTATTTTCACAAGCATGGGTTTATTTCTGGCTTCTCTATTTTAATCCATTGGTCTATGTGATTTTTTATTCCAATATAAATGTTTTGGTTACTATGTGTTGTAGTATAATTTGACGTCTGGGAGTGTGATTACCTCACTCCTCTTCTTTTTTGCTAAGAGTGCCTTGCTAATTTTTTTGTGGTTCCATATAAATTTAATCAATGTTTATTTATTTGAGGAATTATGTGAAACTTTCATAAGGATTGTCCTTGTTGCCAAGAAGGACATTTTATCAATGTCAATTCTTCTTCTTTTTTTTTTTTATAGAGGCATGTATTTATTTATTTATTTGTTTGTTTCTTTGTTTTGTTTATACATGCACTGGGTACAGTCAGAAGTGCGGGAGGGTGAGAGAATTCACCAGAGCCAGAATGGGGAGCAGAGCAGGCAGAAGGACCGAAGTACACTGCTGAGGGGAGCAGCGGGCGGCAGGAGAGGTCTGCGCGCCATGTGGGACCCTCCTTTGGTGGCCGGTGAGCAGCCGGGGATCGAACCGGCGCCGCAGAGGCCGCGGGCAGCTTCGCAACCGAGCGCTCAACCGCTGCGCCACCGGGGAGGCCCTCAATGTCAATTCTTCTAACTCATGTACATGAAATATCTTTCCATTGTTGTGGATTTTCTTCTATATCTTTTACCATGTCTTATAATTTTCATTGAATTTGCATTCTACTTCCTTTGCTAGGTATATTCTGAGGTAAATAATATTTTTTTTGATGCTCCTGTAAATGGAATTGCTTTCTTGATTTCTTTCTCTTCTAATTTGTTATTTGCACTTAGGGAAGCAGCAGACTTATGTATGTTGACTCTGTAGACTGCTACTTTATTTGTTTATAGTTTCTAGTAATTGCTTAGTAGAGTCTGCAGGTTCTTTTATGCATATTATCATGTCATCTCTAAATAATGATTGTTGTGCTTTTTTTCCAATTTGTATTCCTTTCCTTCTTTTACCCAATTGCTCTAGTTAGGACTTCCAATACCATGTTGAATGGGAAAAAAATGGTTTCAAATCATACATTTGACAATGTATTAAAATTCAAAATAGGGCCTCGTTGGTGGCCTAGGGTTTAAGTCTCAGTGCTTTCATGCTATCACTGCTGTGGCCTGAGTTTGACACCCAGGCAGGAAACTAATCCACATATGGCATAGCGGACCTCTCCTGTCTCACCTACTGCTCTCCTTAGAGTTTATTTCAGTAAAATCTACCTATTCTGCCTCCATTCTGTCTCTGGTGAATCCTCTCAACCCCCCTTTTCCCCCACACCTCTTGCCAACACCCCAGGTATTCTCTGCAAAAATAAATAAATGAATCTTTAAAAAATAAAAAAGTAAAATGCAAAATACACAAATAACTGCAACAAAAAGCCAAAGAAATGGATGGAGGGACTGCATAGACATTCACTGGAGAAGACTTAGGGATGGGCAAAAGGCACATGGAAATATGTTTCCTATTATTAAGGGAATGCAAATCAAAATCACAACATGATCCCACATCTATTGAGTGGTTATTGTCAAAAAGACAAGAAACAAGTGTTGGCAAGGATCTGGAGAAAAGGGTTCCATCAGAAATAGTTGGACCCCCAGGTATAGGGTATTACCACTATGGAAATAAATGTTAATTGCTCAAAATGTTATAGAAATATAGAATAGAAATATCACACTATCATGCTCTCCCCTTATGCAGACTAAGTAAACTGATCCACAAAGATATCTACACCCTCAAGTTCATAGTAGCATAGTTGATAGCCAAAACATAGGTGGAAACAATCTAGTGTTCATTGATAAATGAGTGGATAAAGGTAAAAATGTATCATATACTGGAACACTACTCAGCTATAATAAACATTACTAGTATTAAGCTAAGTGAAATAACTAAGATGGACAAAAACAAATAGATAAATACACTTCTTTCATAGCTATAATATAAACTGGTAAGATTAAAAAAAACACTTTAGACACAGTTGGTGGTGGTTACCAGAGGTGAAGAGATGGTAGAGTTGGGTGAAATGGGTAAAGGAATATATTTTATGAGTGAACAATGAAAATTAGACTTTTAGTGGTAATCATAATTTAGTCAATACAGATATCACATTATAATGCTGAACACATAGACTATTAAACACAAGTGTTACCTAAATGAAATTCATTTAAAAATTTGAGATTATGAATGTGTCTGTGTTTGTGTACACATATGTGTGCAGGTATGTTATGTGAGATAAAATATGCACGCACACACACAATTTTAACTTTGGACATTTCTTTGGATCAGCCAAGATATCAACAACATATCTTATTTATTTCTTGCAATGTTTATATGAAGTTATGTTTATTATCCCATATTACCATCAGAAATCCGAAAACTGAAGCTCAGGAAGATTGTTTTTAGCAATTACATAAAGAAGCCATTGAAGTTTACTGTGCTATTTCTTTATTTTTTATTTTATATAATTTAAAAGATTTATTTATTTATTTATACAGGAACCAGGGTACAGGCCAGATGTGCAGGAGGGTAAGAGGATTCACTAGAGACAGAGCAGGGAACAGAACAGGCCGACTGACGAAATACACTACTGAGCAGAGCAGTGGGTGCAACAGGAGAGGTCTGCTTTGCCATGTGGGACCCTTACCGGCCGGCTGGGATCAAACAGGCACTGCAGATGCTGGGGACAGCATCACAGCGCTGGACTCAACCAGCTACACCACCAGGGGAGGCCCTGTGTTGTTTCTTTAATTGAAAAATCCAGTGTGCTCTGCAATTTGTTTTTGTATTTGAAGACAGCATATACAGACTATCTGTTATTTCAACAAACTATTAAAAAGTGTCTCATTGGAATTCCTTCTGACAAAAATATAAAATAGTAGTCTAATATTTTCTTCTATTATAAAATTATATAAATTCCCTCGTCATTTAGCGTATATTTATTTTCCCATAAGAGTAGTACCATTCATGACAATTATTTTTTTAAAGATTTATTTATTTATTATTTATACAAGCACTGGGTACAGTCATAAGCGCCGGAGGGTGAGAGAATTCACCAGAGACAGAGCGGGATGCAGAACAGGCAGACTGATGAAGTACACTGCTGAGGAGAGCAGCAGGTGGGGCAGGAGAGGTCTGTGCACCATGTGGGACCCTCAGTGGTGGCCAGGGATCTACCACTGTTGCAGAGGCTGCAGGCAGCTTCACAGTCAAGTGCTCAACCACTGTGCTCCTGGGGAGGCCCTCATGACAATTATTTTAATAAAACAAAACAAAAATTATTTGGTGTGATATAATGATTTGGGAGAAATTATTCTAGAGAAAAACACCTTTATGCACTAGATAAATGGACATTTCCAATTATCTCTGATTTTTGTTTGGAAATAGATTTAAGGAAATAGGAAAACAGAAAAGGGGAAATACTGTTCAGTATCATAGAGAAAAGAAAGTTTACTAATGTGAGTTAATAAATTAAATGGGAATTTTGAATTAAAAGACATAGAAATTCTATGATATAAGTGAAAGATCAAGTTCTATGTCAAATCTGATTAAGCATAATTTCTGAGTCCGAGTCTCTGGCTTCTGAAATTATGGGTACTTCTTTCCTACAACTACTGTCCTTTTGTAGTTTCCATCACAAAGAATCTTTTCAGGTCCCTCTTTATGTCTTTGTTCCTCAGACTATAGATGAAAGGGTTCAGCATGGGTGTGACCACAGTGTACATCACAGAGGCTATTGCACTTGAGTGTGAGCTATTGGTAGCAGCAGAGCTAAAGTACACTGCTAGAACTTTGCAATAAAATAAAAAGACAACTGAGAGGTGAGAGGCACAGGTGGAAAATGGTTTATATTTGCCCTGAGCAGATGAGATTCTATGTATGGAGGAAACTATCTTAGAATAAGAGTAAAGGATACCTGCTAAAGGACCACCACCCAAAAGAAGAGCTGCAAAATACAAAACCATGTTATTAAGAAAGGAGTCAGAACAGGCAAGTTGGACCATTTGATTGAGTTCACAGAAAAAGTGGGGGATTTCCACATCTGTGTAGTATGGCAGCCATAAAAACATTAAGCATTCTAGCAAGGAATTCAGACCACTGATGACCCAGGGCACCAGAACCAGCAGTCCACAGAGTTGGGGTTTCATAATGACTATGTAGTGCAGGGGGTGGCAGATGGCCACAAACCTGTCATAGGCCATCACTGTTGAAAGAACATCATCTAGTCCTGCAAAGAGCAGGTAAAAGTATATCTGGGTGATGCAGCCTCCATAGGTTGTGACTTTGCTCTGTGTCTGGATGTTCAACTGCATCTTGGGGATGGTGGTGGAGGTGAAAGCAAAGGAAAGATTGGAGAGAAAGAAGTACATGGGGGTCTGGAGATGGGAGTTAGAACTGACAGCCAGGATGATGAGCAGATTTCCAAACAGATTGATCAGGTGCATGGCAAGGAAAAGCCCAAATATGAGGGCATGGGATTCTGGTTTCTCTGAAAGTCCCAGAAGAACAAATTTTGAAATTTGTGTATCATTGCCTGGTTTCATAATGGAGGTGACTTCAGGAGAGAGGGAGAAATACATTATTTTCACACAAACTCAGATTATTCACATAATTTGAAATACTACCATTAATATTTTGCAGTCAAGAAATTAATTTTAATATTTTGTCATGGATCAGGTTCTTTTATGGATTATTAGTACTACTTATGATAAGGAAACTTTGTCCCAATAATCTCTTCCCCTCACTGGTTATATATTCTATAATTTTAATAGTCTCTGTGTGTGTGTTTGTGTATGTATGTATGTGTGTGTGTATATTTATATGATATGATAAGGAAACTATCCCAATAAGCTCTTCCCCTCACTGGTTATTTATTCTATAATTTTAACAGTCTCCATGTGTGTGTGTTTACATATGTGTGTGTATATATATATGACATATATATGACA